AGCCCCTCCACCAGCTTGGGCAGGTCGGCCGGGTTCTTGGCCTCCACGGCCACGCGCACGACGGGGCTGACGCTGAACTTCATGACCCTCATGTTGTGGGCGTGCTCGAAGGTGGTGATGGTTCCAGTCTTCACCAGGAACTGGTCCACACCGACCAGCCCCACGATGTTGCCGCAAGGCACGTCCTCGATGGGCTCCACGTAGCGGCCCATCATCAGAATGGTCCTGCCCGGAGGGAGAGGTGGTTTAAGTGAGGCTGGAAAGGGGAGGAGGATCCCACCAGCAGCACCCCAGAGTTCAGCAGACAGTTGGAGGTCCATAACCAAGCACCCTGACAGACCTCAGAGATGAGAAGTGACCCAACACAGCAAGAACGCCCAACCTGAAGCCCAGAGCACCCTCCAGGCCAGGACCAACCTTTGAATTGGCTTCAGGTACAGATCCTCCTTCTTGCCAGGCGTGTAGTTTGGTCCCATGATTCTGACTTTCAAGCCAGTTGAGACGAGACCAGAGAAGACACGGCCAAAAGCGTAGAAACGTCCTTTGTCAGAGGTTGGCACCATTTTAGAGATGTACATCATCAGGGGGCCTTTGGGGTCACAGTTCTTAATGCCTGGGAAGAAGAGGGGGGGAGACCAACTTAGCCCACAGTTACTGATGGAACTGGCATCACACCCTGTGGCCCCACACCCCCAAATGCCAACAGGAGACCTTCACCCACTGCTGTCCCAGTCTGTGGGGCTCTGTCCAGGGCACTGGCCAAACCAGAGGGGAAGGGGGGAATGGCTTCCCAATGCCAGAGAGCAGGGAATAGGATATTGGGAAAGAATTCTTCCCTGGGAGGGTGCTGAGGCCCTCCCTGGCACAGGTTGGGCAGAGCAGCTGTGGCTGCCCCTGGATCCCTGGAAGTGTCCCAAGGCCAGGCTGGACAGGGCTTGGAACACCAGCAGGTGTCCTTGCCCAGGGCAGGGGGTGGGACTGGATGACCTTCAAGATCCCTTCCAACCCAAACCATTGTAGGATTCCATGAAAGATCACCAAGAGGTTTTCAACAAATCCAGGCTTAGCTGGAGCCTCTGGCTACTCTCCACGTCCTGAGCCAGCTCAGTCCTCCAGAGCAGAGCTGCGAGCCACTAAGCCTGCTTGATCCATGCAAGAAAAACCTCCAGCCTCAACAATTCCAGACATGGAGAACAAGCTGGTCCCAGGTGTGTGGGAGCTCTGACCAGCAGCTCGTCCTACCTATGGCAGCCTCATCGTCGGGGGGGCCCTCGTAGAGCAGCTCACAGCGGTACTTCTGGGCTGTCACGGGGGAAGGCAGGTGGATGGTGATCATCTGCAGCAGGGCATCTCCAGCGGGCAGCCACCGCCTCATCACGGCCTGGGCAGGGCACCAAGACCCAGTCAGAGCGTTCACAACCTGCAATCCACCTCCCCCTTGCTCCCCCACCTCCCACCTTCCCACCCCAAGCAGTTCTAAGTCGACACAACTCATGTCCTCCCCAAGACTAAGGCCTCACCTTCAGCAGGGGTTTGCCCTCCTTGTCCTTGTCTTCGCTGTCCAGCTTGATGTCCAGTTTCTCAATCAGTTTTGCAGCTTCTTCTTTCTTAAAATTCATGATGGCATCGAAAACCTGCAACAAACAGCAGCGCTTGGAGCGTCGCCGTGACCCAGTTTGGAGCAGCAGCACCAACGTCTCTGCAGGGAATTCCCTGGGCTCACACACAACCTCCCTCCAAGGAGACTCAGCCAACCTGCCCCCAGAGCAGCAAGATGTGTCAGACAGTTAAATTTCTTCAATCAAACAGAAGTCAGGTCAAAGTGAAGAAATTTTCCATCATCACGCACGGGGAAAAGCGGGAGAGGGGGAGGCACCGGCCAGGGCGGAACCCTGAGGAGCTCACCTTGAAGATGGGGTCAAGGATGAGCTGGCAGAAGGTCCTGGGCAGTTTCTTTCCATCAGGGCTGGTGGCAGATTTGCTGAATTTGCCAGTAGCAGGATCAAAGTACCTGGAGAGGGAATGAAATCAAACCAACCTCAGTGCTCAGCTCAGCTCCAGATACATGGCTTTGTTCTGCCTGTTCAGGGCACGCTGAGGAAGTGCCACCTTCGTCCCTTCACCCTCATTAAGCTTTTCAGCACTCACCAAAATGGAGTTAACTCCTGTTCAACCAGGCCCAACCACACCCTCCCTCCTCACCCACGTACTGCAGTGTCAGGCTGCAGCCACGTGGAGCTGACCCAGAATTCCAGTCACAGTTCCACCTCACCTGTCTCCCCACAGCTTCTTCATCATGTCTTCTACTTTCTTGGCACGCTCGGAGGGGCTCAGCTGGGCATCTCCCTTGGCAGCAAACTTTGCCACGTACATCTCAGCAAACTGCTTGAGGGTGAAGGCCCAGCCGTGCAGGCCGGAGCCGAAGCCCACGGTCCCCAGCACGGGATCAATCTGAGAGGGAACAGGAGAGCTGGGTTAGAGGAACAGCCCTCAGCCAGCTCCATCCCAAACAACAGTCCAGTACAAAGATGGAGCCTCAGGACACTGGACTGGTTCTGTCACAGGGACAGCTCTGCACCACAGAACTACACTGGTTCTCCTTCACTCCAGCCAGGTGTGTACTCAGCTTAATTCCTGGGCAGGTAAGATTCCCATCCTCCCCAGGGTGGATCAGGAAAGCAGGGATATCTCCTGCATGCAGGAGCAAAGCACGAGCTTCTCCTGAGAACCTGTGGCCAAGAGCCTTGCTCCAGGAACCCAGCGGGAATAAAGCACAAGCTCTTCCTCAGAATCTCCATCCAACAGACCTGCTCCCTTTCCCAGCAACCCAGCAGGAGCTGGGAAACACCTCCTGGCCTTCCATTCCAGGAGCCAGCCAGGGAAGAGATGCTGTGGAGGATCCTCCATCACCAACCACCTCAGATGTGATGTGGGCAAAACAACATCACTCTTTGTGAGGAGAGGAAATCGTGGAATCACAGGATGGTTTGGGATGGGAGGGACCATAAAGCCCGTCCAGTTCCAACCCCCTGCCATGGGCAGGGACACCTTCCACTA